TGTTTGTGTTGGTACCGCAAGCCGCTGTCAAGCTTGAAAACACACATGAACAATGAGTGAACAACGAGTTCCTCTATTGTTTTCTCTTCTGGATGATGCATTTGCATATATATATAATTGCTACCCTCCCCAAGACCTACCTTTTTTGGGCTTATATGTGTCAGATAGTTGCAGTTTTCCTTCCAGACAAAGTATGACTTCGTTCAAGAAACAGTACCCCTACAAAATATAGAGTATTCCTCTAAACATGCAGTGCTTTCTTTCTGAAGAAGCGCAGTCTTCCTTTTAAACAAATATTAAGCCTTCCTTCAATCATACAGCATTTCTTTCAAAACACCAGATTCTAACATTTTGGATAAGTCTGTGTTTTTGATGCAACAGAGTAAGAATAATATCTTGATCCGTATTTTTTAATCTACAGTGAATATAGCTTCATTATAGATTCCATATACTTTAATATACCAGTAATTTGACCATAAAGATATCTTCAATAAACCTTTAGTAAACCGATTATATATATATGTATATATATATATATGGCACCCCCCACAAGTCAACCAAAACATGACCCAAAACTGCAACCAAAAATATAAGCTCAAAATGTGCATAATTTACGGCAAATACCAGTAAAAAACACAAAAAGGTAGGTCTTGGGAGGGGTACCATATAATTTTGTGTATATAATATACGTATATATATATATACACAGACACATGTAAATGCGTATATCTACACATCACGGGGGTATACGCGGCTGACATCGGAAAACACCTGGACCATCCTAACCTACAATTTCCATGGACCATCCTAACCTACGATTCAAAATGCACACCCTACCATTTGCACAGTCCATCCTGTCATGTTGATAAAGTCAGCCAAAAATTGATAAGATCAAGTCCCCTACAACTTGCACCTGGTTTTTGGCCCAGGATCAGTTTCCTACAAAATGAGCCCATCCTACTTTGGCAAATTTTGAAACCCTACAATTTGCCTATGGGATCTCAAAAGGTAGGGAACCCAAGCAAACCATTTTTGTAGCTAAAATTCGATCCCCCATATATAAATAATATATTGTATTAAATAAACTAAATCAAATTAGATTATATTATACCAGTAGTACCGCGCAAGGCGGTGGCGGAAGTTTCAAAAACAGGAAACCTATAGGAGAGATTGGTTGTTGTGAGTCACGGATGGCAGAGCGAAGCCGCTGATGGACCGACAGGTGGTTGAGGTCTCCTATCTTTCTCTCTCTTTCTTTCTCTTTCTCTGACTATCTACCTACCTACCGCCTTGTCTATCTATGTATCTATCTTATCTATCTTATCTATCTTATCTATCTTATCTATCTATCTATCTATCTGTCTATCTGTCTATCTGTCTATCTTTCTATCTATTTATCTATCTATCTATATTTCTATCTGTCTATCCATCCATCCATCGATCTATCTGTCTGTCTATCTATCTATCTATCTCTCTCTCTCTCTATCTCTCTATCTCTCTGTCTGTCTATCTGCAAGCTTGAAAACGAAGCTATTCTGCGAGACTTCTTCATTTTCAAAGTTGACAACATCAAAAACGAAGAAATGCTGCGAGACTTCCTCAATTTTTGAACTTAACAACGTCAAAGACGAAGCAATTCTGCGAGACTTCCTTCAAAAATGGAAAGTTGAGTGCAGCACTGACGGTCTCCCGTACCAATGCGTTTTTGCGATTTTTTCAGTCCACCTGTCTAAACTACTGCGCCTGCCATGAAAAAGTGATGCCAGGTCATACGAAGTGCTGCACCTGTCACGCAAAATCATCTCAGCGAACCTGAAGATCTGAGGCTCCAAAATGCAACCCCTCTCAGGAAATCAGCGCCCGGACCTCCTAACAGCTCTGATGAAGATGTCTCTTGTACTGCGCCGGCCACGCGAAATGCATCTTTGCAGATCCTCTTCAAATGTCCCAGGCTTGCCGTCGTTTTTGGAAATGCGACAAAACCCTCGCGTTTCGCTCGCTTTCGAGAAGGTGCGCAATCCCGTGCTCTTGCCACGCGAAACGACACCTGAACGTCCAAAAGTGGTCCGAACCCCTGGTGTTTTTAACATTTTGACTTCGAAATGTGCTTCGCGCCACAACGGCATGCACTTTTTCGGTATCTCAACTTCCAAAAGTGGTCCGGAGCTGGTGTGTTTTGTGGTCCGAACATGTGGTGTTTTGTACATTTTGACTTCGACATGTGCTTCGCGGCACAACGGCGTGCACTTTTTTGACATCGCAACTTCCAAAAGTGGTCCGAACATGTGGTGTTTTGTGAATTTTGACTTCGAAATGCGCTTCGTGCCGCAAAGGCGTGCGCTTTTGAACATCGCAACTTCCAAAAGTGCTCCAAACATGTGGTATTTTTCTGACATTTTGACTTCGACATGTCCTTCGCGCCACAAAGGCGTGCAACTTTTCATCTCTCATCTCCACAGATGGCTCTGCACCCGCCGCTTTAGCGAGCCTACTTTTCGACCCTCCGGAGCCACATATCATTGGAAAAACACAGTGAATCACGACTTTCCTACCTTTTCGCGCGCCTTCATCTTCTTTCTTCTGACTCTTTCTCTTCTCTGATCTTCTCTCTTCTACTCCTCTCTTCTCTCTGACTCTTCCCATCTCTGCTTTTCATCTGTCCATATTGTCGGAAGTTTGACTTCTAAACTTCCTTCGATTATATTATATTATCGAAGGAAGTTTAGAAGTCAAACTTCCGACAATATGGATAGATGAAAAGCAGAGCAGGGCAGAGGCAGAGAGAAGAGAAAGATCAGAAGAGAGAAGAGTAGAAGAGAAAGAGTAAGAAGAAAGAAGATGGAGATGCGCGAAAAGGTAGGAAAGTCGCGATTCACTGTGTTTTTCCAATGATTTGTGGCTCCGGAGGGTCGAAAAGTAGGCTCGCTAAAGCGGCGGGTGCGGAGCCAGCTGGCCAGAGGAGAGATGAAAAATTGCACGCCGTTGTGGCGTATTTCCAAGTCAAAATGTTAAAGACACTAGGGGTGCGGGCCACTTTTGGCACTTGAAATGTCGAAAAAGTGCACGCCGTTGTGGCGTGCAAGCACATTTCGAAGTGAAAATGTCAAAACACACCAGCTTCGGACCACTTTTGGAAGTTGAGATGTCGAAAAAGTGCACGCCGCTGTGGCGCGAAGCATATGTCCAAGTCAAAAGTGCAAAAAACTGACGGGTACGGAGCACTTTTGGACGTTCAGATGTGCTTTCGCGTGGCCGGCGCCAGGGATTGTGCACCTTCTCGAAAGCGAGCGAAACGCGAGGGTTTTGTCGCATGTCCAAAAATGCTGGCAGGCGTGGGACATTTGAAGAGGATCTTCAAAGATGCATTTCGCGTGGCCGGCGCAGTACAAAAGACATGTTCATCAGAGATGTTAGGAGGTGAGGGCGCTGATTTCCTGAGAGGGGTTGCATTTTGGAGCCTCAGATCTTCAGGTTCGCTGAGATGATTTTGCGTGACAGGTGCAGCACTTCGTATGACCTGGCATCACTTTTTCATGGCAGGCGCAGTAGTTTAGACAGGTGGACTGGAAAAATCGCAAGACGCATTGGTACGAGGCTGTCAGCTCTGCACTCAACTTTCCATTTTTGAAGGAAGTCTCGCAGAATTGATTTGTTTTTGATGTTGTCAAATTCAAAAAATGACGAAGTCTCGCAGACTTGTTTCGTTTCGGATGTTGTCAAGTTCAAAAAATGAAGACGTCTCGCGGAACTGTTCCGTTTTGGATGTTGTTATGTTCAAACATTAAGGAATTCTCGCAGAATTTCTTCGTTTTTGACCTTGCAGATAGATAGATAGAGAGACAGACAGAGAGATAGCGAGATAGAGAGATAGATAAATAGATAGATACATAGATAGATAGATAGATAATTAGATAGATAGATAGATAGATAGATCGATAGATCGATCGATCGATAGATAGATAGATAGATGGCTAGACAGATAGATAGATAGATATATAGATAGATAGACAGATAGATAGATATATAGACAGGTAGACAGATAGACAGATAGATGGACAGATAGACAGATAGACAGATAGACAGAAAGATAGAACGATAGAAAGATAGACAGATAGATAGATAGATAGATACACAGACAGACAGACAGACAGACAGACAGACAGACAGACAGACAGACAGACAGACAGAGATAGATAGATAGATAAATAGATAGATAGATAGATAGGTAGAAAGAAAGAAAGATAGATGGATAGATAAATAGATAGGCAGACGGATAGACAGAAAAAAAGATAGATAGATGGATGGATAGAGATAGATAGATAGATGGCTAGACAGATAGACAGATAGATAGATAGATAGATAAATCGATAGGTAGGTAGATAGGTAGATAGGTAGAAAGAAAGATAGATGGATAGATAAATAGATAGGTAGACGGATTGATAGATAATTAGATAGATAGAAAGATAGATAGATAGATAGATAGACAGATAGGCAGATAGGCAGATAGGCAGATAGGCAGATAGGCAGATAGGTAGATAGGTAGATAGGGAGTTAGGTAGATAGGTAGATAGGTAGATAGGTAGATAGGTAGATAGGTAGATAGGTAGATAGGTAGATAGGTAGATAGGTAGATAGATAGATAGATAGATGGATAGATACATAGATAGATAGATAGATAGATAGATAGATAGATAGGTAGGTAGGTAGGTAGGTAGGTAGAGAGAGAGAGAGAGATCAAGCACCTTTCAGTCCATCAGTGGCTTCGCTCTGCCATCCCTGATTCACAACAACCAAGCTCTCCTATAGGTTTCCTATTTTTGAAACTTCCGCCACTGCCTTGTGCGGTACTACTGGTATATATTATTATACTATATACACATAATAAGAACACATTCGGAGCCATGTGGATATCTGGATATTGCGCCACATCAATTGCATGATAAACTATCCGCAACCATCTGCAATCCTAGGTTCATCTGTTTTCCTTGCAACCAATGCGCACCCCATAACGACGCTGGCTGCAATCGCCATCACCATTTCCAGGGAGTATGCCTTGGGTTTTCACAGAGAAGAGCAAATGAATATGGGGTTACTGGGGAAAAAACTGTGTACTCGCCCGCTGTACCTTGCAACCTCTTTGAATTTGCGTCAGAACTGAGTAAGTTCATAGATGCTGGTAGCATGCGCCTGGATACCACCCCAGCGGAAATATGTTGAACGCTCAAGCGCGCACCTGGCAAAACCTGCGCCTTGCTGCATTAAATCCAGCTAAAAGCTTCACTTTTAACTCTTTCCCTGCTACATACTTCTCAGATCTTCTCAGTAACAATGGGAAGAACATGCGACATGGCTTCTGGGGACACGAAGCCAAGACTGGCGCCATGTGTGGAGGCAAAACAATTGGAAGCAATTCTGAATTCAAACCTTCTGCAGAAACATTGCGCCCCGGATGCCACAAAGACCAGCAAAAACCATTGCCAGGGTGTCCCGGGAAGTAAAGCAACATTTGAGACCAACACTGGCGAGTAACTAACCTTTGACAGAAACATGACTAACATCGTGTCCTGAGTAAGCAAGCCCGGTGGATGCCGTTCGAATCCAGGACAAGACCGCACTTCTCCGCTTGGAACGCTTGTAGAAAGCCGGCTAACACCATGGTGCAGCCTTCAGACCCAAATTCTCCAAAATCCAACCGCCTTCATCAGACAGGAACAATGTAGAACGGAACCAGATGGGTGCTACAAAGAAGACCGTAAGGAGCTGAATCAATGAAATCCAAGATTCCGTCGATGGAAAAACCAACGTTGCAAATGCGAGCGCGCAAATTTGAAACGGAAAGTAGCAAATAGTTCGCCTCATCTGCCAAAGACAGGTGCACCATTGACTGCCAAGATCTGCTAAGGGAAATGAACCGTTTCCCAATAGATGTATCATGGTGTACTTCCCTATACAGGATCCTACATGAATGTTCTCCATGCAGAAAGCGAACGATGCTGAAAGATGCTGAAGGTAGCAAGATTTGGAACACTGTCAAAATCTGTCAAGCAAGATCAAACAAGTGCGAGCCAAGTCTCGCCAAGCGAAGCTCCATATTCAAACTGACTTGACGTTGCAGCTGCTTGCGGGTTAGCCTGGCGGTGCATGGAGCACTTGCCAAACTTCATCATTGTCAGCAAAGGCAGTAACTCAGAGAAAACACACGGATTCAGAATTTATAGAATTTCAGAAAAAACCAGATCCTGCATGACTCTTCAAACTGTTACCTTTATCACTTGGGGCTGCATCAAATTATGTGATTTGCCTTGTCGACTCATACAACCAGTAAATGACTGCGGCCGTGGTGACCACGAGTGCAATTGCTGAGCAGGTCCATATTGTCTTGGTGATGCGAAAGGGAAACAAGGACAGCAAAAGGCAACCCTGAGAAGATGGAAAATATGAGCTGCCTAATGATTGTTGACATATACGCGATGATGTACATGGTACCTTCCAAAACAGCAAGGTCACATTTGTCACCAAATCGCCAAGCTTCAACGATCTTCCATCCAACCTTCAGGCTCAGCAAAGCAAAACTGCATGGTCTCTGAATGGAAAGGGCTGAGAAGAAAACACTCAACTTTTCTGGTGCTTTCACATGCTTTGATATGCTTTGCGCCTTCTGATGCATCAACTGAAGTGCAGAGGAGCCCCAAAGAATACTCAGCGGCATGGCAGGAACCAGGCCAATCCAGGCCAGCAGCCGGTGCTTTCGCTTGCTTCTTTTGACTCCATACTATGTGGTACTGGCAGAGTGTGGTAGCACCCTTGGACAAGCTAACTTGTATGATCTGGTATCTACTGTACAACATTGGACAAGTTTCTTCCATCTTTTTGGAAACATTTTCTACATAAATTGCTTTAACTTCATCCCTCCCTTTGCTCTTGTGTCACGCACTGAATGCCATCACACTGTGAGCTCCTCGAAATGTTTGACGCCCAGTGGGAAGTGGAGCTGCTGAATTTGCCGAAAGCTGCGGTCAATTGTTCGACATAGAACATCATAGAACTACAAACGCTCAAATGAACATCCCCCTGAAGATTTCGCAGTACCTCGGTCAATGCATTGGCAAAAGTGTGGAAGGTTGCGTGGCAAACTCACAACATGATATGATACCAACTGAGCTCATCTGAAATCAATATGACATTATGTGGGGAAATGTCCCATTGGGACTGGGAATGGTAATGAGTGAGGAGCCCACACAAGTAGCACGTGTCGCGCTTCTAGCGCATTCCAGTGCCAATCTTGTTACTGGGCCATTGGGAGCTCTGGGGCCCTGTGGATTGAGAGAAGCTCATTGTGCTAGTGTTTCAAGATATTTCGAGCATAATGAGGCTGGGCTAACACTCGGGGACGGACACATGCCAAGCAGGGTTTCGCATTGCTTGCGTTGTTGTCTCACCGATTCAATAGATGACTGAACTCGCAAATTGGCGGCATGCGCGCCGCATGGGCACCGCAAGGCTTCACAATGACTCGCAGTCAAAGCGGCAGGGCTGCATCAGTCGCTTGCTCTCGCCTCTCTTGTCATCTTGCGCCTGAAACTTGCAGCATTTTCCAGCTCTGATTCCAGAACCAGACGGTTGCAGGACGAAGGTCCACTTCATAATGCTAGTATACGAATGTATACCATGAATGTGCATATATGAACATGCACAATTAAACTCACCCTCTTCAGTGAAATGTGGTAAGTGTGGCAAGACTGGTAAGATCTTCCAACCCTCTGCGCATGTCTTCGTAGGCTGATTGGCTGTCTGCCAAATGAATCCAAATGATAGCCTCCTGACAAAGCTCAGCATGCGCTTGCCACCAGAGATTGTCGAAAGTTGTCCGTGATAAGGACAGGTAGTGCATCCACGGTTTTCCTAAAGAACGAACGAAATAGCAAATGAAACAACATGGCTTGACGTGGATTTGCAATTGAAAAACATATTGAACCTAATATGTCAAACACCCAGAGCAGGAATTGTGCATCAAGTTGTGCCCGCAGTCGCACAAAACCCGTGTTCTATGACTGGTGCGGTGTGCTTTGTCTACACAAAACTAGTGGCATGGAAGGTGGGGTGTTCACAATGCCAGGGAGTGAGGGCAGTGAAAGAGGGACGAAGGCAACGGAGTGAAAGAGCCAAAGAAAAGCTAGTTTGTGTGCCCACCTCACATTGACATCATGTTCCTTCAATGTTATCACTGATCACTTCGCACGATTGGATCCTAACTCTACCTGATTCTTATAGTTGTTTGATCCTTTCTGTCTTCCTCTTCTCTCTTTCTACATTTTTTGCATCTTTATCCTTGTTGAATCCACCGGCCTGCCGGCGTGTCTGATTGGAAGGTGTTGTTCTTGTTTCTGTTCTTGGTTTGTACTTGTTTCTGTTCTTGGCTTGTACTTGTTCCTTTGTTCTCTTGCCGCGCGTTTTTGCTTCGTCTGAATCAAAGTCACCCCCCCACTACCCACTACTACTACTACTACTCCTCCTGCTGCTGCTGCTACTACTGCTACTGCTACTGCTACTGCTACTGCTACTGCTACTACTACTACTGCTACTACTACTACTACTCCTGCTGCTGCTGCTACTACTACTACTACTGCTACTACTGCTACTACTGCTACTACTGCTACTACTGCTACTACTGCTACTACTACTACTACTACTACGACTACTACTACTACGACTACGACTACGACTACTACTACTACTACTACTAGTACTACTACTACTACTACCACTACTACTACCTCTACCTACTACTACCTCTACCTACTACTACCTCTACCTACTACTACCTCTACCTACTACTACCACCTACTACCTACTACCTACTACCTACTACCTACACAGAATCTTTTGCACACAGAAGCTTTTACACTCAAAAGCTTTTACCCACAGACACTTTTACACACAGAACCTTTTACACACAGATGCTTTTACACACACACACAATTTTACAGACAGATGCTTTTACACAGCGAAGCTGCTACATACGGCCGGGAAGCTCTTACACACAGACACTTTTACACACAGAAGCTTTTACACACAGCAGCTTTTACACACGGAAGCTTTTACACACAAAAGCTTTTACACACAGACACTTTTGCACACAGAACCTTTTACACACAGAAGCTTTTACACACAGACACTTTTGCACACAGAAGCTTTTACACACAGAAGCTTTTACACACAGAAGCTTTTACATACAGAAGCTTTTACACACAGAAGCTTTTACATACAGAAGCTTTTACACACAGAAGCTTTTACACACAGAAGCTTTTACATACAGAAGCTTTTACACACAGAAGCTTTTACTCACAGACACTTTTACACACAGAACCTTTTACACACAGAAGCTGCACATCAAACTCCCTTGGGGCCTCCTCTCTATGGCCGGCGGGCTTGCCGAAGGCAATCAAATATGCAACATTTCTGTCAAGAAGCGCCGTGGTCCTGTCCAATGGAGAAGCCGTGCGCGCAGCAAGCCTTCGAGGTTTTTCTCCACTGGCTCTTCTCCAGGCTGCGGAAATTGCACTGCCAATTCAGCCTGCCCGAGACTACGACATAGCCAGGACACCAAATAAAACCGATTGGGATGTGAAATTGGCCAGGAAATGCTCTATATACACATGCAATACATATCTATCTATAAACAGATATACATATGTATACACCAGTCTTGTGTATATATATATGTATATATATGTATATATGTATATAATTATATATACACGTGATACCTGTATGATGTATATACATATGTGTGTATGTAGGTAGGTAGGTATGCATGTAGGTCTGTAGGTCGGTAGGTCTGTAGATATGTGTGTATGCATGCATCATACACGCACGCAAAACGCAAATACAAATGTATGTATATACTATATATACACATATGATCGAAGGAAGTTTAGAAGTCAAACTTCCGACAATATGGTCAGATGAAAAGCAGAGCTGGGCAGAGGCAGAGAGAAGAGGAGAGCAGAAGAGAGAAGATCAAAGAAGAGAAAGAGTCAGAAGAAAGCAGATGCAGATGCGCGAAAAGGTAGGAAAGTCGCGAAGCACTGTGTTTTTCCAATGATTTGTGGCTCGGGAGGGTCGAAAGGTAGGCTCGCTAGAGCGGCGGGTGCGGAGCCAGCTGGCCAGATGAGAGATGAAAAAGTGCACGCCGTTGTGGAGCGAAGCACATTTCGAAGTCAAAATGTACGAAGCACCTCAGCCTCGGACCACTTTTGGAAGTTGCGATGTCGAAAAAGTGCACGCCGTTGTGGCGCGAAGGACATTTCCAAGTCAAAATGTACAAAACACACCATGGTCGGACCACTTTTGGAAGTTGAGATGTCGAAAAAGTGCACGCCGTTGTGGCGCGAAGCACATTTCGAAGTCAAAATGTACAAAGCAGACCATGTACGGACCACTTTTGGAGGTTCAGATGTCGAAAAAGTGCACGCCGTTGTGGTGCGAAACACATTTCGAAGTCAAAATGTTAAAAACACCAGGGGTTCGGACCACTTTTGGAGGTTCAGATGTCCCTTCGCTTCGCTTCACTACATTATATACATTACACTACACTACGCTTCACTACACTACATTACACTACACTACACTACACCCCACAACACTACAACTACAACTACACTCCACTACACTCCACTCCACGAAATTACACTAAACTACACTACACTACATTACACTACATTACACTACACTACCTTCCACTACACTTCACTACATTACACTACACTACACTCCACTACAACTATAACTACAACTACACAACTACACTCCATTACACTCCACTACACTAAATTACACTACACTACATTGCACTACACTACACTCCACTACACTACATTGCACTCCACTACACTCCACAACACTACAACTACAACTACACAACTACACTCCACTACACTCCACTACACTCCACTACACTCCACTACACTCCACTAAATGACACTACACTACACTACATTACACCACACTCCAGTACACTACACTCCACTACACTAGACTCCACTACACTACACTCCACTACACTACACTACATTACCTTCTACTACACTTCACTACATTACACTATACTACACTCCACTACACTACAACTACACCTGCGACTACACAACTACACTCCACTACACTCCACTACACGAAATTACACTACACTACACTACATCACACTACACTACACTACATTCCACTACACTCCAACACACTACATTACACTACATTACACTGAATGACACTGCACCACAGATAGACCGGTAGACAGATAGACAGATAGACGGGTAGACAGCTAGACAGATAGACAGATGAAAGAGAGAGAGAGATAGATAGATAGATAGATAGACAGACAGACAGAGAGATAGATAGATAGATAGATAGATAGGTAATTAGATGAAAGAGAGAGATAGATAGATAGGTAGGTAGGTAGATAGTCAGAGAAAGAGAGAGAAAGAGAGGAGACCTCAAGCACCTTTCAGTCCATCAGTGGCTTCGCTCTGCCATGCCTGATTCACAACAACCAACCTCTCCCATAGGTTTCCTATTTCTGAAACTTCCGCCACCGCCTTGTGCGGTACTACTAGTATATGTATGTTATGTGTATGCATACAAGTTGTATATATATATAATTATATTATATGTATAAGATATACTGTATATATATATATTCATCTGTGCAGCATATTGTATGTTTGAACACCTGAAGCCACTTACACAGCAAAAGAGCAACATCACCGACCTCCTGAAAATCTGGAGAATCCATCCCGGCAACCAATGCTGGATATGACACGCAGAAGTCATAGCGTGGTGGAAGGACGCAGACCTTAAACACGACAGAAACATACAGACTACAAGAACCAATAGGATGGTTTTGTTGAAATGAAATGGAAACAATAAAACGGAATCCCATGCTAATCTGCCAAGCCAAAACACCTTGCCAAGTGGTGTTTTGGCGCCATTGAAGTGATCTTGACTCTCTGTCACTTCTCCAGGGCTCAAAGAAGGCAAATCCTGCAGCCACGACTTACACAATGTGAAAAAGGTTGAAGAGCTGAGTAAACATGATCAAAGTATGTCAAAGATATTCAATTATTCATGGTCAAATCATATTCCAACTTCTTTGCTGCATTGTCGCGTACAATCGCTACGAGCCTCTTTCAAGCGTTGGCACTTGCACTGTCTTACATATTGCCATGGCCTCCCAAGCAAGCCCCTGCCTCCATGCAGCCAAGGAATTGTCCAGATCCTGCTTCCCACCTTCTCAGGGTTTGGATGGTGTCCTGAAATGTCCTGAAACATCATGAAACAATTTGAAACAAACATGAGGGTGTCAAAACATGTCAAAACATGTCAAAACCCAAAATTCAAGGGTTTTGCCCAAACGATCATACAGTGAGAACACAACCTCGGCTCATCAGAATTCACGTCAAAGCCACCTATACTTTCTTTGCCCTTGCGATCCCTTGCCATCCCTTGCCATCAGCCTGGGATATCCTCCCCATGAAAAGTGCTGGGCAAAGAAGCTGTGCTGGAGCCTCAATAAGTGCACGCACGCACACCCACACACACACACATGCACATTTGCATATATTTGCACCACGTGTACCGGATAATCGAATTGATTGCAGCAAACGTTGGCAACAACATGATTCATACTATCACGATATCACAGTACATAATTCACAGCGCGTGTGCTTTTCTGAGCTTACGTGGACTTGTGCGTTGGATGTGTTGTCTCAGGCTCTAGCATTTGGTCCACAGATCGCACTCCGGTCACGAATCGATCAGCTGCTGCAGAAAGAAAAGAGATGAAGGCATCGTAGATGCGCCTGCTTTGGATCGTCGTGTCCAAGTTACATCAAGTTACAGCGTGTCACAAAGCTGCAGCAGGATGTTGTAGCCCCATCATGCCAAATCTGTTTCATTCTGGTACTATACACAGGCAATGGATCGGACTTGATGTCGTATGATGTCAGAATGTTTTGCAACCTATGCCATTGAACAGTTTGTGCTTTTATGAACCTTAAAAAAAATAAAAGCTTGACCATGTCTGGCACATCTTGAACGCTTCCGAAGCTTGCCTACCTGTCAGGATGAAGGCTCATGACACCGACAGAGATCTCTGAACCTTCCCGCAATGACCGAAACGGATCTTTTGGCGGGGTTAAACTTGGGTTGAATCCTGAACGTGTCTTGAAGGTATACGAAAATGCCAAGGTGCAAAGGACGTGCCATGAACTACAGTGATACATAGTGATATGGACTGTTTTCATTGCATCTGCGGCGTCACATTGTTGTCTGTGGCATGGATCGTCTCTGGGCACAGCTTTGGGGCAGTCTGTGTTTGACGATGCTTCAAACATGTCAAACGCGTTTCGGATGGTCTGGTTCGGAAACCGGATGTATTATTGGAGAATCGATGAGAATCGCCTTGCCCCTACTTCATCCCAAACGCATGGCGAGAAAACTGTCAAAACCCATTGAAAGGATTTGAAAGGCCATTGCTGGCTTTTCACTCCAGACCTTTGCCATCACGCGATAGATGAGCAGGCGCTGCAAGCGAAATTTCATCCTCATTTTGCAGGAGGGGTAGCAAATGTTCTCAAAGATACTGGAAGGATAACTTTGCAAAATGTTGAAAGGAATTCCAAGAAAAACAGTTCAGAGCTGTGGTGAAAATTCTACAGTAGATATTCTAGAAATTGGTTCCAGAGCTTCCGGATATCCGGGTACAGGAGGATTGGGGTCTGCTACACTGGTCGGTTCATGTCAATTGGATTCAAGTGGTGTCAATTCGATTCAATTACGCTATATATATATATATCTATATTTATATTTCTGCCATTGAGTCAAGGGCAAGTGAGATGGTGGCTCATGGATCCCAATGCCTTGTATAGAGTTGTCCGTCCGTGTCGCAGCTTGTTTGAATGAGACTCGGGGAGCGCAAAAAGTTCGTCAATCGGACGATGGACCAAAGTGTCTGCATCCTGAAGACATGTATGACATGTATGAAGATCACAATAGATCACAATAGATCACACAAACACAGTCTGACTCCGTCTTCGCATTCAGCTGCTCTCGTGGCAGGGAGAACCAAGCCGTAACGCAGAAATTGTATGAAATTGTATGAAACTGTCATGTCCATGACCATGTCTGAACAGGTGATCGACAAGGCACTAAATAGACGATGCGGCGGTATTCTGTCAATTTCCACAACTTTATCCTCAGTCCAAAGTTTCAAGCCACCCACGCGGCTGCGCGACGTGCCCTGTAATCCGTGCACAAATATCGTCAAATATCATGCTCGGGCACAAGAGCCATTTTCCCACAACATGCTCACTATATTTGCCACAAAAGATCTCGACAACTTGCTTGTCGCAATTTATCTTTAATGTGGTTTCTCATATAATATGCGTCGAAACTATTCGAAAGTTATCGAAAGTTAGCTTGCCTTAGCCTTAGCCATTTAGTCATTGGACCTGGTTTCCCGGCTTGTTCCCTTCTTCATCCTTCTTCATCCTTCTTCATCCTTCTTCATCCTTCTTCATCCTTCTTCATTTTTCCAATCCAAGTGACTTTAGCCACCAGGATAGTTCTATCCGTTCCGCCTCTGAGAGATTTTCTGACTCCTGGAGCAGTGGAAGAGAATTCAAGCAGTTCAAGCAAGTGGTTCGGGAATCAAATGCCCTTTGATGACATGTATTAATAATATTTAATAATTATGATTGAATATGACAATATGACATGTATGAATACGTCATGATAACTTCCACACACACTTCTATCCGAATGCATCCAGCCTCTTCTTGGGCACTTGTCTCGCCTTGTCAGCAAAACAGCAAGCCAACTAGACTTGCCAGGCATGACATGGCGTTGCAAGGCTGCACCTTCGGCAGCTTCCTGTGCTTTTTTGATATTTTTTGCACTTTCTTGCAGCAGTGGGATTCTTCTTGCTCAGTGGATGATGATCATCATAGACAAACGAAAATTCATGTAAAATCAGTCAAATGATTGGCTTGGACCCTTAGCCCATAGAGCCTCCGGTGACTGCAGTGGCTGCAAGAGATGTAGCGGTGGCTATCTATACAGTAGCTGTAGCTATCTGTAGCTCAAGTATTAGGCTGCATGAGCTGTTTCAGGAGAAGCTCAAGAGTACACCGAGTGAGGTTGAGACTTGGAGATCTTGGAACGGACTGAGACCGGTCAAAGAATCAAGAAAATCGAGAATTCCACCAGCATTTTCACAGACCAGGTTCAAACCAGAAATCAGAAAACCTACTTAAAACATGTTAAAACCAGCAAAGAATCAGGATCCATCATCATCCATCATCACTGGGAACGGGGCTGTTCTGAACACCAGAGCATGTGCTAGGGATTGCTAGGGTACATGATGGTACATGTTCATATTGCACCGCCTGCGTTGGATCGGACAGTCGATGTGGAGAAGGGGAGCAGCCGGCAGAAGGGCAAGTGCGAAAGACAAAGAGATCAAAGAGTCAACCAATTACCAAAGAAGTAACCATGGACATCCATGGACCATAGGCATAGGATGGCATAGGCGTATTTTGACTCTTTTACGCCAGCCAATGCAGCTGTAACGCTTCTTGACTTCATTCAATTCGATTTGGCGACGCAACGTCTACAAATCATGGTGGTGACACAACATACGCAACATATCGAATCCACACAATGCGCAAAGACATGCACAACATCGCAATGTCGCAAAATGTTGCAAAGCTGGTGCCTCGCTGTTTGCGCCGGGATGGCACAGTAATCCCTTCACTGCTGAAACTTGGCATGACCTTAGCAGATCTCAGGGAATGTGAAGCGCTGGTGGCTTCATGGTTCCGATCCATTCCGACCCTACTTTATCCATCTTTACCCATCTTCGTGTTCGCAAGCAAGTTCTCAAATTCATCATGGCTTCAAACTCCCAGCATTGAAATTTTGAATGAGGGTCCTGAAAGTGCTGTGCTCGTTACAGTATACATCTAGTGTGATAGAAAAACACTTGAGAGGCACACAAGGGGCGTCAGCCCATCACCCTCCAACATGGCGCGCACATCGCTGGTAAATGCGGCCTTCAGCTAAAACGCGCGTTCGTTTTCCACTCACTGCAAGGCTATGCACGGCGACGAAACATACAAAAACAATTTGTCCACAAATGTATGTTTGAATGTTTCTACTTCTTGTTGTTTTGTGTATATTATGTCGAAATGCCTTAAATCGAACGCTGGCAATGATAAATTTACATCTACAGTACAACACAACTTCACGCCCAGCCTCTGTCATTAACACCAAGAAAGGTCGTGCGGGTGCCACTTTTGATGCATCAAAGGCAACCTTTGCTTCAGCCTGTCGCACCGAGCGAGCCATTACTCGAACCGCTTCTGCGTAGACAAGGAGTGCACGCCTGACATGTGACGCAGCTGCAAACAGAGTATAGTAAGGACTTCGATCTCCCTGGTTTTGTCATGTTTTATCAGCTAGTAAGAAAAGAGAACCTGCGAGTTTTGATGTATTTTGCTTCCTATGTAAAATTGGGCTCAGACTTCAGCCTGAATTTCAGCTCTTCCCGCAATTCTTTCAGCCATGTTCCGACTTGTCTTTGTCATTTTGATATATTTTAATTCAGTAGCGTGCCTTCAATAATCACGTTTGCTTTGTGATTATTTATATGTGTGTATATGTACATACTGTATATATATATATATAATCATATATGTGATCTAATGTTTGTTTTCAGAGCAGCCCGAAGCCTGGTTTCTGCCCACACAGGCAAGACGTCAGACATAGAGAGAACATGAAATTGCAAAAACAAAGTCATTTCGATCTTCCTTAGATGAACGGTAAAGTACCAGATTCCTTTCTCGTCTCTTTCCTTCGGCCGCTGTTCGGCCTTTTTCAGCCTTCAAATTTTATTTATGCCTTCGGTTGGCCTGGCAGCTTCATTGGCGACTGCATCATCATCTGAGAGCAATGTGGCCCAGGCTTCCCCAGTGTGCTCCAACCTCCATGTACTGCTGAGGAAAGGCAGGAAAGTCCAATCACAGCGACTCCAGCAGTACAACTGGAACTCTCTCTCTCTCTGTGGAGAAAGCGGAAATCTGCGCATTTGTAGATTTGTAGTTGACCAAAGGCCGAGCTTCATCAAACTCTTGAGGAGAAGGGTATAGAGAAAAAATCGGTCAAGTTAAGTTTCGTGAATGTTTCAACATTTTTCGACCATGGCAGATTCTGTGCTTTTTGGCGCCTGTGATCAAGCGCGCGTGCTGCTGCAGCAGCTGTTGAGCCTGCCATATCCTGCAGCAAGTCCATACGCAATCGTGGTTGAACCACGGCCTCGACACAGGGTCCCACCATGCAGACCAAGACTCGAACCATCTGCGGTGGATACAAAAGAACAGGATCTTAACATCTGCACTCTGTACATCTTAGTCCTGATTCATTCACCTCTCTTCTTCAAGATCTGCTTGCATCTAGATTTATCATCCTCATTTGGTTTTGAAGATGTCTGAAGTGTCATGGGTTCCCACTCCACAAGTTGTCTCTGAAATTCTTCCTTTTGGGAGGCATGAACTGCAATAGGTCCAAGAATTGCATCGCACATCATGGCTGCATAGCACTGGTCAGCAATAGTGCTAAGCCTGGTCTTGTACCTCGTCTGCTTAAAGATAAATAGCATTAAATAGCTCCGTTTATCAATTCGATCTGATTAAGTTCGATTTAATTCAAAAGATAGACGTGGAGATGGATGGATGGATAGATGGATGGGTGGATGGGTGGGTGGATGGGTGGGTGGATGGGTGGATGGGTGGGTGGATGGGTGGGTGGATGGGTGGATGGGTGGATGGACCATAGATCTATAGGCGGATAGACGGATGAATGGATACTTGTCATAGACAGGAGATGATACATACGATTTACGGAGTAGATATGTGTAGATATTATGTCATGTGACATTGCGTATATGTGCGTTCGCAGTCAGTTCATCCAGCATAGAAAGATGAAGGTGCAGCAGCAGAAATACTGTAATTCATGCAACGCGAGCTCTAGGAATGCTCGAGGTATCTTTGGGCACAATAAGGCACCATGAAACATGTCAACCATACAAGCCTAGTAGTGTCACATCGTGTCAACCTGTACATTCATGTACGAACCATGTACCCCGACGACCGCCATGATCTTTGAGCCCTCAGCCTCGAATTCACCCCGTGCACCACCAGCAGCCAGGGCTGAAACCCATTGGCTCTCGCGGTTCCATTCAGCCTCGCGTGAATCCTCTTCCAAGTTCCAAGCATTTTAGAATCATATACAATCATATACAACCATCATATAGTCAGCAGTCAAGAAATGTAACAAACATTGACAAATCACAAGAAACAAGATATGCAACATATAATATATATATATATATGTATATAGAAATTAATATAAATTAATATATCATAACGAGATACACAAAAACGACTGTGCACATTCAAAACCAAGGTGCTTGCTGCGGCACAGCACAAGCTGGGCAAAGTGGGGCCTTTTCGCTGAAGGAACGACACTGCAATGCCCACGGCCTCCAACGTGGAGCAACAGGGCATTCTACTCAAGGCATGATGAAAAATGAATCAAACATCTTTAAGGAGTTTGAGAAAGGGTTAGAACATGTTAGAACATGTTAGAACGCTTTGAATGGCATGCCGATGGCCGCCGCACCGCTGATTTATTTCAAGCACTTGCGCAGCATAATTTTGGAGCAAGTCGCGCTTGAGATGTGAGCATCTGCAATCGATCCAGTAACTGCCAAATTGGCCAACCACCTGAAGCAGAATTTAGCCAGCAAAAAAAGAACTTGATTTCACAAGGCATGTGGCTGCCACACAGTACATGCACACACACACGCGTGTATAGAATTGTACACACACATATATATATATGGTCCTACATACATATTAGATCGGCTCATATGAATAAAGACCCACAAATGCCAAACAGATTACGCTGAGGTATGCTTGCAATGATTGGTGAATGCATCCCTTTCTCTGCGTTGTCAGTATGATATATATATATACATCTGCACAGAACTTTGGTTTGCCATACCCAAAAATGATCTCACTATTGTGCGTGGAGCCAAGGTCAATCCCACAAAATGTCGTACAATGTCGCACTGTCAGTCTACCAGCAAGGTGTGCAGTCGTACAGTGTGATCATTCACTGACCGTCATTGACTGCAAAACAAACACCATTTGACTCCAGGGCTGTGCCATGCCATGCCGCATGCCTGCATAGACACGCAAAAGGGCGTTGTTGTCTTGGTCATGCTTTCTGAGAGCTGCCTCAGCGGACAAATGCCAAGCTTCCTCAGCTGCCTCAATGCTTTGGAGTAGTTTACCTAGGTCAAGAAAGGGCAAAGCAAAAATACAACATATACAACGTATACAATCTCTATGTATGTATGTATGTCTGTATGTATGAATGGATGTATGGATGTATAGATGTATGGATGTATGGATGTATGGATGTATGCATGCATGCATGCATGCATGCATGTATGTATGGTATGTATGTCATGTACGTGATGTATGTGATGTATGTCATGTATGTGATGTATGTGATGTATGTGATGTATGTGATGTATGTGATTTATGTAATGTATGCAATGTATGTAATGTACGTAATGTATGCAATGTATGTACTGTATAATCTGTATGCATGCAATTAATGTAATGTAATGCAATGCAATGCAATGCAATGCAATGTTTGTATGTTTGTATGTTTGTATGTTTGTATGTTTGTATGTTTGTATGTGTGTATGTGTGTATGTGTGTATGTGTGTATGTGTGTATGTGTGTATGTGTGTATGTTTGTATGTTTGTATGTATGTTTGTATGTTTGTATGTTTGTATGTTTGTATGTGTGTATGTGTGTATGTGTGTATGTGTGTATGTGTGTATGTTTGTATGTTTGTATGTTTGTATGTTTGTATGTTTGTATGTTTGTATGTGTGTATGTGTGTATGTGTGTATGTGTGTATGTGTGTATGTGTGTATGTGTGTATGTGTGTATGTGTGTATGTATGTATGTATGTATGTATGTATGTATGTATGTATGTATGTATGTATGTATGTATGTATGTATGTAATGTATGTATGTATATTGTAAAAAATATAACAAATAATTAGAAGGCAATGCAAAGCAACACAAACCACAACAACACAATCTGTTCGCATGGCTTGGGGCTGACCAAAAAACATTTTGATCAGACATGTTGAATCCATACATATGCGATTCAAATAATATACATATTATATATACATATATATTTCGTATCTGACCAAAAGAACTTGATGGGAAAGTCAAGGAATTGGAGAGGATCACAAAGTCCTGACAGGGTTGAATGGATGATCTTGTGCTCCCAGTCATGGGTGGGTTAATGCGTGGGTGCATGCGTGTAACAAGTGTGGTGATGCTAAGGATCGCTGTGCTGCGACTTCCAAGGAAAATGGGGACATTCGTAGACGGAAACACCCAAGTGCCGAGAAAAGGGAAGGAGGAGGCCCATGGCACTGATTTCCACTACAGTTTAGAACCCCGCACAAGGACATGCGGAACAAGACATGCGAGTATCTGCGAGTCCACAGCCCAACACATGCCAAAAGACAATCAAATTTCATCAACCAGGCAAATCCAGGAACAAGTTAATAAACAGTTCAATTTTTTCAGGATCTTGAGATAACCACAGTAGACTTTCGATACGCGACTAAAGTTAAATCAAATACAGTAACAACATGTAACAACAATGTCGAAGTCAATTTGATTCAAAATTATCAAATATAGCAAATCAATGCCAATCATACGAAATCCTCGGAACTAATCCCTGCAAAGTCACCAAAGTACTGTGTGAGGCCTTGCGCCGTCGACTCAGAAAAATCTCTGAAGGATGCCAGAACCCATGCCCGGCCAAGGTGAGCAAAAGCAACGGCCAAATTACAATCGTCCTGTATCACAGAGCCAGGTGATATGAACTGATGCCGGTGTGTGTGTGACACTTCATGACACCCAGATTTGAAACTTAGTTTTGATGTGGTTTGATCGTCTTTAATCAGTCAAAAGACTTTCATTTGAGATCTGCCTATTGTCATGGCAAATGCAAGTCAAGGCGCAAACTTTTTGGGGGTTAAAGATGCCCAGGGTGTGCAACAAATATTCAGGGTCTACAGTAGTAGCTGTATAAGGCCAGACCCTAGGAAATTCACTCCCCAACCTCAACTATAGACCTTGAGTACTTGAGGGTATATATATATATAAGCACTCTCCCCAGGGGTTTTGTACACCCCCCCTCTTCCTACATGTTTTGAAATGTATGAAACTAAGGGGGTACCACGTTGATTTTTTAGAGTAATTTTACATATCTCATGTGAAAAGTATGAAGCCCATGGGGGAATACTGTTCCCCCATGGGCTTCATACATTAATTCAAAAATGTATGAAACCTAGGGGTGTGATGCCACAGCCATCTGCCATTATTTTTCTATAATGTATGAAATAGGGTGGTAAGGATTGTTTTGGTTGGATGGGTTGACATCTTTAAATGTATGAAACCTATGGGGGACAGGGTTGATTTTCTTCAAGGAGAAATCATGGGAACAACTTTTCAGACATGACAACTTCCATCAAAATCTGCTGTTTTTTCTCCAGCCGGTGTCACGGTACAGGTGTATCGTGCATACCCTGCACAGGTCTATCGAGGCCTCTGTTTCTAAGCGTGATAGTAAGATATGATGATGTTATCTAATTACATGGAAATCTCTGAAAAATGAAATACTTTTAAATATGAATTGAAGGCTCCAATGTGATAGTCGGATATGGTTAGATATGGTTTGATTTGGTTTGACACACACACACACCAAATAAAAAACAATAGAATCCTTTACGTCCTTGTGTAGCAAACAAGACCGGCCTTATAGCAATTTTTGGATCAAAATGGCACTTATCGGTGCTCCGACGATGCCAAACATGTATGAATGATGGGGGTGACAGGCCCCCCTCCTCATTGGAATATACGTGTTTGGCTGAGGTACACACAAAATCAAATAGACTCTTTTTATGTCCTGGTATACCCAAAGAAACCACCTTTGGATCGAAATGATCGAAATGCCACTTATCTGTAATCTGAAAAAGGGTCAAAAATGTATGAATAAGGGGGGACAGGCTCACCCCTCCTTAGAATACATTTCTGGGTTCGATATGATTAGACTTTAGACATGGTTGGATACAGACAAAATCGAAGAAAATCCCTTGTGTGTCCTTGGATGCCAAAAAAACAAAAAAACAACTTATATACAATAATTTTTGGATCAAGAGGAAAAAGGGGTCAAACCAGGGGGGACAGGCTCACCCCTCCTTAGAATACATGTCTGGGTTAAATATGATTAGATATGGTCGGAAATGGTTGGACTCACGCAACATCCAATTCCGTTCATTTACCCTTGTATTCTGACACCGGCTTCAACAGAGAAAGTTGGTTTTAGCAAAAAAACAGAAACACAATCGAAAACAGAATGACCAAAAAACAACCCGACGTGAAGAATTAGCAGAATTTTCAAGTTTTGATTATTTATTTATTGTTTTTGTTTTATTTTATTGTTTTGTATTTTGGTTTTCTAGTTTGTTTTTTCTGTTTGCTCTGCTTTTGTTTTTATAAAACCCTACAGTCTCTGTGCTGTTCGACTCATAACCCTTGTATACAAAAGAATCACAAAAGAATCCTTACAGCAATTTTCGGCTCAAGAGAAAAAAAATAGTGAAACATGTATGAAAGACGGGGGACCAGGCTCACCCTTCCTTAGAAAACATGTCTGGGTTCGATATGATTAGACTTTAGACATGGTTGGATATGGATGGATATGGTTCCATACACACAAAATCCAATCAAAACCTTTTGCATGTCCTTGTATACAAAAAAAACACCTTACAGAAATTGTTGGATCAAGAGAAAAAGAAGAGACAACCATGTATGAATCAGGGGGTACAGGCTCACCCCTCCTTGGAATAAATGTCTGGTTTCGATATGATTGGATATGATTAGATGTGGCTGGGTACAGACAAAACCCAATAGAATCCCTATGAAAAATTCAATCTTACAGAAATCTTTGCATCAAAAGGACAAGAATGGTCAAAATGTATGAATGAAGGGGGCGACAGGCTCACCCAGCCTCAGAATACATTCTAGATCATTCTAGGTTCGATATGATTAGATATGGTTGGATACACACCAAATCCAATCGAATCCTTCATATGTCCTTGTGGACCCCAAAAAAAACTTATAGCAGTTTGAAACTTATCGGATATTCGGACCATATCGAAATTTGATTTCTCTGGTTTTTGCAGCTTGACAGGTTAGTGGCCTATTTTTTGGTGCCAAAAACGGCTTGCGGAGGGAAGGCGCGAACAAAAACCAAATCATGTCTTTTTCTGGTCAAACAACTTGGGTGTCTAGAAAACATGAAAAGTATGAAACTAGGGGGTCAATGATTTCCATCTGACTTATGAATCATAACTTATGAATATCAAAAAATACACACGCGTAGGTAAGATGTATAAACCTCAGTGGTCATAGAACACTGGGGAATCCCTGGCGATGCCCACGGAATGGTTGGCCATGGTTGGCCATGGTTGGCCAGCACGTACGTCAAATGTATGAAGGCTATGGATTTTTGAAAAACCTGAGAATCCCCAGCAATTCCAAAACCTCTGCAACATGTATGAAAATAAAAGGGGGAAGGGTTCAAAACGTTATATACCCCCCGGCACTAGGAAAAACACGTAAAAAGTATATTTTTGCGACCGCACCCCCCCTAATATACATCTTTTAGGGGTGGGTGATTATATAGATATATATAATATATATTATCCTACTTTAATGTTATGTACGTATCGCGCGTCCCTCTGCAAGAAAAGACTACTTAGCCTAATTGCACTAAAGATACTAAAGAGGCAAAAACACGCAAAAAGCGGGGTCCTCAGCAGCATCCCAGTCCTCAAGAACGCCACATCGAGGTGCAATAAATGCCACCCCACAAAAAAATAGACCGATGTACGAGTTACTGAGTCTTGATGAAGTCACATTCAAACACATGTTCATTTTTGAACAGTTCTGTGAGATTAAACTGGAAACACGATCAGCTGCTTGCGACACAGGCTCAGCTTTGCCAAATGTCTGAGACATTTGGGCAGCAGCAGCTTCTGCATTGGTCAAAATGCGCGCCAGGATCGTGAGAATATGTTTGCCGTCATCCTACGAGTGACTCACGGCCAAGTCGTGGTCGACTTGTGGTCGACTCAGGGTCGACTCATGGTTGAATATGGTTTCTTAACATTTTATGAAGGAGTCGATGAATAGATTGAATAGATCTTAGCGGTGAAGTTCGCGATGACAATTCTGTATCAAACATCGTCTGATCTTGTCTGCTTGTATTTTGCGTTCGTACGCATGCGTGCATCTGATCATCTTGTCCCGCCAAAGGGATGCACAACGATGCTTGTTTTGCCGCAAGTTGCGGGCAAGTGGCTGAAGTCAACTCTTCTGCACCCTGCAGAAGGCGAATCGCTGAAAAGACATCTCCGATCTGCACCTCGGGCAATCTCAGAGCCAAAAAGGCCTTGTGAACGCATCGAAAAACATGAAAACTGGATAAACAAAACTGTTGATGAGAATGGATAAATCCCTAATTCCATTGAAGGCTGTCAGGTCGCACGTAATGCAGCTCAAAGTCAGCAATCAGTGACATGATGTGCTAATTGCATGTCGTCATGCAACATACGCGGCAAACGCTTGATAATCTTTGAACATTTTGAACCGGGTCTTATCATGTAGTCTTATCCGATCTGCTTCTTTGATATGGTATCCTTTTCAATCAGAGGATGCGGTCAACCAGCCGAAGCAGCAGTTTGCAAAAAATGTGTCAGTACAGAATTGGGTCGCTCATTGGAACATACCCAAATCATGCTATTCAGCATCATGAAACATTGTGGGACCCTTTGAAGAAGTCAGTCCTTATCATCTCTTGCCCTTTCAAAACTAGGCAAAGGCACGGCCCCACCACAAATGCCCTTGCTTGGCAAATGCGGAAAGTCCGGTCGAGCTCGTGCCTCACGCGACACATCTCAACGTAGCAAAAAGCGAAAACATCGCACAATAAAGAATCGAAGCAAAGAAGCGGAAGAATAAACAAGTATCGATAGCATTCGATAGCAACCTTTCTACACCTGTGACCTGCGCACAACTTGCCCCAGTGGTTCTAAATAAATCTAAACGGTGTTAAAACATAGTGTTATGTAGTTATGTAGTGTTGATGATCACTCAAGTATGCTCAAGTCAGATTTGCACAAAAAACAAATGCCACACAGGTGGCAACACGAAAACACTCCAAAAAAATCCAAAAGACGCCTTTGGATGCCTGTTTCAAACAGATTCAAACAATTGTCCATGAATATCCGAAGATGTCCTAAGTTCAGCTGGTTTACCATGGTCAGCCTCGGTCAGGGCTTGGCAAGATGTTTGGAAAATCTAGTGTGCTTGAATTTGCTTGGGCATGTTTATATAAACAACTGGCATGGGGAGTTCAGCCTGTCTGCAGCTCATTCGACAATATATCCCGCAGGCAAGGTACAGAATCCACAAGGCCACTGTAGATACGAAACAGCGGCCATCCAGAGAGAATTGTAAGCAAGAATGGTATCCTCGTTGTGTACTGCCTTAAATCACTCGGTTGGAGGACTGTGAAAGACTAAGGAGGACCACATGGAGGACTCGAATGACTCAAATGATTCGAGTGACTTGAGGAAGTGAAGGGTTACCCAGCTCTAGTGGAGACTTTCTGCCATGTCCATATCAACACAAAATATACAATTCCAACAAATCAGTTGAACTATGTTGAAATACAGGACTACAAACCTTTACAAACAACCATCTTATCATCTTGTATTTTGCTAATGGAAAGCTGCAGGTGTAGCCGTGCATTTTTTTCAATATGGGTTTGTAAAAAAACCCGAGCCCTTTGGCCCTTTCAAATGTTTTTTCCTCTCGTTTTTCCAAGCGCTGGTTTCACACCTTGGTCAAAGAATTCACATGAGCGAGGAAAGGGAAAAGGGAAAGGCATAGTAAAGGAAGGGAAAGGAAAGAATAGGAAAGGGAGAGGAAAAGGAAAGGAAAAGGAACGGAAAAGGAAACGAAAAAGGAAAGGAAGAAAGAAAGGAAAAAGGACAGGAAAAAAAAAGGAGAAGGAAAAGGGGATGAGTAAAGGAAGAGACAGGAAAAGGGAAAGGAAAGGGAGAGGAAAAGGGAGAGGAAAAGGAAAAAAAAAGGCAGTGTCTCACACGGACGATTTTTTGATGCCAAAAGTTATCGTTTTCGTTATCGTTTTGTGATCGTTCGTGAATCCTGTTTGTGTTCCTTTTTTTCTGGAAATGGCTGCAATCATCAAAAAGGAGTGTGGCGACCACCTACCAGGCACCTTCCTTGTGCAGAACCTGCGCCATTACGACAACAAACAATGAAAGGAAGAGACCAAAAGCACTAAATAACCGCAGAATGGTGGAAAAATCAAGAACTTTGGATTTCAAGAATCTGGACACAGATCATTAACATAATCAACATTATCGTTTTTTTTTTAAAATGTTTTTTTCATTTTTTTCCTCTTATCGTTTTTTCGAGTGACAGCTAAAAATGGCTCATGGGAGATCATGGAAGACTAAACGAATAGGCGCGGGGTTTTTACAAGCTCCCATATTGGGTTTGGGTTGGGTGGGGCGATAACGTTCAAGTTACCTTGCGCACTGAAGTGATGTTACGCTAGACTTGCCTTAAGGCTACGTCATGGCTTGGGGTTTGGGTGGGGTGGGGTGCGGCAATAACCTTCAAGTTGCCTTGCGCGCTCAAGTGGCGAAATATGCAGTCTCACCGGTCACGCCCTAAGCAAGCGGTTAGTCGGGCTCTGCGTCTCTCAAAAACCTCCTTAGGAAGTGAAGAGCACAATCTGGCTATCTAGGATCGGCCGGGCAGGAGCAGGACGAGCCAAAGTTCTGGCAGGAGGACGAGGACATGCATCGTGGCCTTGAAGGAAACTGTAAGCCACCTCAGATGCCTTATCTGCTTGTGCAGCTGCTTCCCGTGTGGCCGTTTGCTGAGCTGCTATACTTTCCTTTTGGGCCATCACCAGTTGTCTGTATATGCCTGTATAAGCCTTCCTTGGTGAAGTCCAGTTCTGGCTCCGTCTGGTTCCTTCTAGTCCTACCGTAGATGGACGAATTATTCAAACCATTTCAAACCCTTGTAATCCAATAACCCCCCCGCACCCCCAATTACAATGTTCTTTTTTTGGTTTGGTTCGCTCCTTCGAATGGACGAAATAAATCAAACACTAAGATCAGGAACAAAGATACGAAACCATAAGGTTGAAATTTTGGGGGACAGGGGGTAGCCTACAACTCATGGATGCAGGGTTTGAATAATTTGTCCATCTACTGTATTTATCCTTCGGTCGCTTCTGCTGCGATCTGACTCGGTCCAAGGTGTGCTGCCGGAAGCCATGAGTTGATCTAGCACGTCCGGCTGCTCTGCCTCCATGGCAGACAGGTCTACGTTTTGAAAAAAATCTGAGTCAGGACTCCCCATCCCGCTCACCTTCACTTTGAACCTCGAAATATGCAGTCTCACCGGTCATGCCCTAAGCAAACGCTTAGAAGGCCGAGGCGGCTATGGCAACAGTGAAAAGTGAACATGACTCCAAACCCACAAAACCATGTCTCCAAAATCTCTTGATTTTCCCCGGGAAAATTACGTGCGCAACAGCTAGAGCAACCGCTAGAGTCTGCTAGGGCGTTTCCCACCCGGGTTGTAGTCGCGAGGAAACAAGGGCACCAAAAGGGGCTGCTTTGGATGCTTGGGATGGTCCCACGGAAATTCCACAGCGTTTGATTCTGGTCGATGATTACTTTTGTTCTATTTTGTTACGAGTTTTCATATTTTTTGTATATTTTTGTAATCTTTGATCTTCGATTATTTTTTTGATTATATATTTTTTGCCAAGGAACACATAGTGGGCCTCAAAGACTTCTGCCAAACCTGCTGCACTAAACTCCTCGAAGCGCCGGTCCACATCCTAGGTTGTCACTGCGCAAGCAAAGTAAACTAAGCTGTCATGGTTGTCACTCTTTCGACAAGGATCGGCTCTGAGAGTCGGCTGTAAGACTATTTTCGATTCGGATATTATGTTAAATCAATTTAAATCAAGTACGAGTACATACACATTTCCACGACTCAGCCGTCAGCGCTACTATCAAACAAATCATGACAAGATGATGATACAAGTATGTTCAAACAGCATTGATCGATAAGAAGGATAAGAAGGTCAACTCAAGGTCTGTCAATCTACAACAATCTATCTTTCTTTCCTTGCATCTGTTCAAGAACATCCTCAACTTGGACAACACATGCTGGTGAGAATCTGCTAGGTGCACTGTCTGCAGTCCCAGAGGGCAGAAATCCACGTCCTAAGCGAACCAGTCAGGAGCGTGACCGTCTGTTAAGTGGCACCAATGGGTCCAGAACCAAAGCGAACTTGGCATAATACGTCTTCAATCTTTTTCATCCTTTTTCGTTTGTTCTTTGTTGCTGTCTTGCAACAAATGGGCTGCAAATTTCCAAGCTACGCAGGGACGCAGGGACATCAGGGACACATGGAAAAGGGTACACAACAACCAACCAAGCAACCAACCAAGCAAGCAAACAAGCAAACCACAGCGCTGCTCAATTCAATTCAGTACAGCATCAGATGACTTCAGATGACTTAAAATGACCTAAGTCCGTGATACCCACCTGATGGATCCTGATGGTCAAGAGCCTCAGAAATTGCATGCCATTGCCATAGCTATGCCATTGCCATAGCTAAGCTGCGTTCGCCACATAGACTCTAGAGACCCACATCCTTTGAGAGCTGCTACATGCTGCCAAATATTACAATGACATACAGTGAAGCACGATGCATCAAAATGCTCCAGTATGTACCAAAGTTCTTTTACATTTTAGTTTGCATGGAGTGCAAACCTCAGTCCTCCACAAGGCAATCTTTCGATGGATTCACTATGGTTCACTGTTGAAAATCCATGCACGATGAACCAAAATGACTGCTATGTGACTGCTAAATAATCAGAAAATGACAGCTGAAACTGATTGAAACTGATTATCCGATCAGATCAGATTTTGTCCTCCACTGAAACCTGGCATCCTCGGACACAAAGACACGTCGTTGCCGAGTTGGTTGATCTGCATAGTACTGGAGCTCCATCTGGGCGCTTCTCATCGCCGCTCAGGCCAACATTAATAATCAATGTTTCACAATGCTTCACACACATTGCATATACCATAATATACCATGATATACCAATTGTTGGCGTCTTCCTTTTATCCATGAAGGTGTGGAAAGAGTTCAATGTTTCTCATGATTGTTCTATGCTAAATCATAGCTTTCGCCAGAAGCTGCCCATTGATGGATTCACTTCTAAGGCGTGCCTCAACCAAAGGACCATTGTCAAGCTGACCATTTATTTAGAACAAGAAAATAAAAGAAGACATCATTATATATCATAATCATTCATACAGTAATAAAGAAATCTTTAGAAATCTGTGAAAGTTGAGGGCTACTTCTTGTGGCTCAAGAACTCTGAAGATATTGGCTCTTTGCACATCCAGATCGCCTTCAGCAATGGCCAATCGACCTGGCGAATCTCTGCTGTGAAATGCGGTGAAGCTACGACCTAAAACCACAGTACCAGTACAATAAGTTCAAAGATGCTCAAGGATGTCCAAAGTTCTACACAGGAATCTGAAAGCAGCTCTGAAAATAAGTGCATGTCTAATGTCTATAGACTGCTCATCACTTGTCCCTATTCGATACTTATGAAGTATGAAATGTACCGACCGTATGGATGTGTGTATGTAGTGCACACGATTCCAAAAGGATTTACATATATAAGTTTAAAATGTCTAAAATGACAACAGTGTCGAAGAGTGTCCTTTGTAATTGTGTGCCTGCGAGAATTCCGTGAGTAAAACAGAAACTGACACGAGATCTGATATTAATGAAGAATATATAATCATATTATGATATCATATGTCATTAATTTCTTAGTGAACTGCAATTCTCAAAGCCCTGGACCTCCCGCTTCGTCGGGCAGGAATGCTCTGGATTGTAAAAGGGCATCTTCTCCTGAACAGCGCCATGCTGCGCTCATTTGCATTGGCAATTAGCAGCCTTGTAAAGTCTGTGATAGCTGACTGCCTGGCAACTGAAAAACATTGAAAGGCCTTGCTGGCCTTGCTGGCCTTCCTTGAGAAAGGATTATACCTTGCCTATGCATCCTTGATGATCCTTGCTATACTTATCCTTACTTAGTAACTTGCACTTCCGCCTCTTCTGAGTGTTCTTGAACCTTCTTGCACTGTCTTGTGAATATATCTTCGTCGGCATGACGCTCCTCGACGGTGTATTGAAGAATCTTTGAGCTTGATGATGCACTCCCTGCAGTCTTCGAGTCAAACTCTGTGCCATACAGTACCATCTATTACCGAACTCAAGGTGCATCTGCTGTTCTACAGTGGTCTTAAGTGGTGGGGAAATGCAGTCAGGGATTGACTGAAACACAAACTCAAACAAGACCACATTCGGCCACATTAGCAAGAAATACAGATCACAAAAGATATCAAAATCAAGCCAACATGTTTGGCAAGTTGATTTATCTCCAAGTCGTTCTTTTTGCCCTGCTTTTTGCGCTGCTTCGGATCTTGAGGGAACAAACAACACCTCTTCAATTCAAACAAGAACACACACACACACACGCACACACACTACATTCATCTGAAGGCACGTTTCCGCATCGCATGTACAGCAAACATGCAGCCGAAAAACTTTGCCAGACCAAACAAGTGCTTGACACATCCATTCTTGCGATTAAGCAAACAAATGATATGGATGTATGGAGCCCACATGTGCAGATTTTGTGGGGTTGGAGGGGGGAACGGTTGCCTTCCCCCAAATGTTTGTTCCAATTTGGAAGGGGCTGTTCATCTGAAATCGCAGCACCACTGCGAACGAGCCTGTCGCAAGGATCGAAAAGCAAGTGGGCCAAAGCATGGTGTTGCACACGGCACCCATCACTTTGGGCTTTGTCTGACTCACAATCAGCAGACTATCAGCAGGGACCTGCTGTGTTTCACATTCTTGCACTTGCGCCGTTGCCCGGGGAGATTGCAGTGTGTGCTCGTTAGATGCAGTGCAAAGCGGTTGAAGCGACACTGATTTGTGCATGCCTCCAAGAATCCATGAGAACCTTCAGCATCTGCTTGCATTTTGCATGATGAGATTTGTTCGTATATGTTCATATATAATGTATGCTTGGCAGGTGGCACAGGTAACTCCAAGTCTGACCAAGTCTCCCCGTGGTTTTGAGATGCTTGCGTTGTTCTCATAGACAGCTTGTCATCACAAATGCTAGGGGAGTCCCAACATATGGCGGCGGGATCTTTGGTGTAGGCGACATTCACAATATGCACTTGGCAGCTTCTCTGAATCATCTGAATCTGTACATTTGGTCCATTGGTCAAATTTGCTGTGCTGCTTCCGCGCAAGTCTGGAGTATATCAGCTGGGGTTATCCATGGTTATCCACAAGTTCATCAAACGAGAAGGGTCTGCACATCGCCCACTTCTCAGCAAGCCCTCGGACTCTGAGAATGGAGAGGATCTTGTTTGCTCGCTAGCTCTTTCACCTCGAAAAGATTCTGCAGAGCAAGTTGAGCCAAGTTAAGCCCGGTTGAGCCAGAGTGGTAGACCGGGTAGATTACGGCAGGCAAGGAATCTACATTTAGACAAGTCACCAGCGAACACTTCTCTGGATGCAGCTGTTGCTTCACTTGGGGAGTGCCGCCTCAGCGAAATTTGCTCCTAAAACTTGGCATTATTTCCAGCTCACCGCAGAAGGAAAGACACAATCATGGAGTATAATGAGTAAACTGAGTAAACCATATCTGAAAATTGAATAGCGGTTATTAAAATTCTGTGCAGAGTTTGCAGTATTTGTGGTGTCGTTTCGAAGCAACGAGTCAAACCACATGGACGTCGAATCTCTGATCAGGCCGAGGGACTCTGCTCCAAATTTAGTTGCCTGTAGGATTGTTGGAAACCCGTGCGAAGATGTGTGAAACATATTTTACAAACATTCATGATCATTCATGTATCCTAACCTTGCAAACTCACCACAGCAGGCCATATCACATGGTTTCAGTACTTTTCATTTTCGTGTTGTTTCGTTATTTTGCCACTCCGATCACACACCTTCACAGCTTCAAAGTGCCGTGCCAGGTTCCTCTCTGGGAAGGTTTTGTGGATTTCCCTCTGCCAAACACTGGTCTTTGTAATGCCCAGGAGATTCCCTGTTGCAAAATAAACCATTCATATACCCAAAGGATCCCGAAGGCAAAGAAGATTTTTAACATGCTAAACACAATCCACGATAAACAATAAATGACAAAAAAGGTAAAAGGACGAAGAATGTTTGTCAATGTTTGTTAGTTACCAGGGATTAATGTTGCTCGCATATTGTGAACATATTTGTGAAAAATTGTTCACATTGCTCGTCTGCGACAAAAAGGCGACCAACGTATCTCGCCTTGCGAGCCTCCACTTTGTGCCGGTAAGCCTGACGTATCTTTGCTTCTTGACACTGTTCATCGGTTTCCACATCACCTAGAAATAAAACAACACTTGTGCAGCAAAGATCCCCTCCCAAGCGTGGTAAAGGTTCGGGATTCACTGGCGGCGATAGTGGCACAGGAAAAAATACATTCCTCGAGTGATCCCCACGAATTCTGCCATACATTCGGACATTTTATCCATTTTTATCCAACATACATATTCGAGCATTCTATCGGACGCCTTATCTGACATGTATTATGCATGTCTGACATCTTATCTGATATTCTATCCTGATATACTGCATATAATCTAGCATGTTATCTGACATTTGATCCGTCGTTTTATCCGACATGCTATCTGTCATATGTTCTGTCGTTCTACTTGGCATTCTATCTGGCATTTTAGCTGACACACACATTTACATATAATTATATATTTACTATATATTTACTATATATTTACTATATATATAATTCTATATATATATTTGACGTTCTATCTGACGCATCTTCTGCCTTGTTACCTGGCATATACAGTATGCTGACATTCTATCTGGCACATTTGCGTGGCTCTTCTGAACTCTTTTCATCTCTTGTCACCACTTCTCACCGTAATGTGAAATTTGTTTAATGCGAGGGATGGGGTAGTGCGAGGCTGGTCAACACAATGCGACGATGAGGCGATGCGAGTTAATGTGATGCTGAAATGATGGAAAGCACTTCTGGTGCAAAATCCCAGAAAAGTGGAACTGTTGCAAAATGGGAAGCGAGCTGTGTGGTAGCTGCCCAAAAAGCTGGCAAGCTCGCCGTTTGTGTCCGGGTGGGTGGGTCGGTGTGTGTCCGGGCGAGCGTTTCTGTTCATAATCTAGAGCCTCACCTTGCAGGTGGGGAAGAGTGAAACTTGAGAGAATATGTTAAGATGAACCAATCACTGCATATCCGGTGCCTTCAAGACTTGCTTCAAATCATTGGGCGAAGCCTGCAAAGTGGATCATTCAGCGGACGACCAACATCAAAGTCTAGCAATGATAAGCAAGCAGCGTTCATGAGAGACATGGCTTTTGTTCCCACAATCTGCCACTATGCTCTGTATGTCTCCGTACGACTCTGCTTGGTGATGTGCCTCCGCGAGCATGGCTCATCTGTAGAGCTTTCAGATTGTAGCTGTGGGACGTTCATACCCTGCCTTTGGTCAACCGCTTAGACATGCTTTACAAATGCCATGTGTCGTCTGTCATTTGTCTCTGCTTTGTCAAAGTGCTGTTTTCTGCCTGCTCCAAATGTTCCAGAATGACACGGCTTGACTGACGCGGGTCTTGAACCGACGATAAGGAATCGCAGTCTAAGACAAAGTTGTGCAGAATCAGCATGTGAGATCAATCGGGATGCGAATCTAATTGGTATCTAATTGGTTTTGCTCTCTGATAATCTCAAGAGCATGTTTATATTATATATATATACATATTTGTATATAATTGTGTATATATAATATAATAATATAATATATATATATGTATGTATAATACATATACATATATATATATACTATACGCATACGGAGACGGCAGTAAACTCCCTCTCTGCGTGGAACTAATCTGCACTGCATATTTTGGCCCTCTTGCGACTGATCAGATCAGCTTGGCCCAACCTGATCAGGTACAGTACATTTTTTGGTAAGCCTGGTAAGCTCGCAAAGGAAACCGGGGCATCCAATTTCATTGAATCAGTTCAGTCAGTGCTGTCTGATGTTTTGCACTTGCCCAAGCAATTCAAACATGTCTATAATTGATGCAATGCAATGCAACGTAATGCAATGTAGCACAATGTTATGCAATATTACGCAGTGTAATGTGCTGTGCTGCGCTGTAGTGTAATGTAAGGAATTGCGTGGACCTGCAACGTAATGTACTGTAATGTACTTAATGTATTTGCAATGGAGTGTGGTGCAATACAATGTAATGTATTACAGTAAGCATTCATAAATTCTATGCAACATAAGTGATCTACAATACCTACAACATGTGCACGCGATCAGCCTTCCTTTGGTTGTGGGCCTTCTGAATTCCCTTGTCAAAAGCTCGTCCATGCATTCCGTTGAATGCTCTGTAGGATCGGTTCTGATTAGTTATCTATTGAAATGACTCCTGGAATTCCATCCAATCAGGTTTGAAGTGCTGAGCTCTCTGCTTCTTTCCAAACGTTGTTGGTTTGTCAAACCCTGCAGCACCTCTGCTGCCAAACCTCAGCAGAACAGTTTGGTGAACAACCAATCTTGCTCAGCACGACAATATATGACACCACATAACACCTATTCTGGACCTATGCGGCCCATACAGTGAACAAACTATAGCTGTGGGGCACAAAACCATCCCGGCGGGGCTTTCACCGTCCCACGATTGTGATAGAATCGCTGTGCCGCTACAGTGGCGTGTCATTTTTTTTCAAACTTTTGATGGTCGCGGCAACCCTTCCACGGTTTTATTCCCCAAAACGAGTCCGATATTTGCAAGCCTTTTTTGCACCTCAGACTGTGGCCAAGTATTCTCCCGTTTCTTTTAGGAAACCTCGAAGTCCTACCTGCACCTACAGTGCGAAACCATGCTGCCATGCTGAGCGGTCAATTGGATCTCCGAGGCGCTCATGTCTCGTCCCCGGCGCTGCTTAAGCGCCTCGATGAGGTCCTGGACCAAGAGTGGCTGAAAATCAAAGTTTCGGTTGAAACGGTTGAAACGGTTGAAATGTCATAAGATTACACTGGTAGTACCTGGTAGCAACAGGTAGCAACTGGTAGTATGATGATTGTGTAGTAGTTTGATGTAGTTTGACTCCAGTGCAACTTGGTGCCCCAAATTAGTACCAGCTGCTTGGAGTTTCAGAGCAACTGGATGGTGCAAACCAGTCCTGAGGAACGTCAAGACCCGTTCGACGCATGACCTCCGAAGCATCTGTCAATCTGCCCATGTCTGTCAAGGCCGCAAACTTTGAACGTACAGTATGTGAAATAGTGTGAAATACATACAAATGATCTTTACATTTGGTATACATTTCTTTACAAGTATCTTATCCAGGATGGGGCTGCAAATCAATAGCTCTCCTGCTACTGTTGTTGCAATCCTTCAGTTCTGCGGTGAAGGCCATTTGTATCTAGATGAATCTACTTGAATGCGTATATACACATATATTCAGTAGCATACACACATATTATATATATATAAATAAAATATAATATAATTATAGTATATATTATATTATATTATATTATATTATTATTATATATCGCCAAAAATTGTGAGAGCCAAGTGATGCCATGCACCGAGAGGTTTGGCCTGTGTGATGTAAATCATGGCACGCCTCAGCCACGGAGTATCAACTTGCAAGACCACAGCAGTCAGATGCAATCGGCGCATGAACATGGAATTCACTCCCAGCGATCTCGAAGGCGCCTGTAAACACACAATAGATTCTGGGAAAGCTCAATGCGAATCAAATGAAATCCTTCAGCACCAAAGTTAAGATTGAAACCCATCTGGACCTGAGTGACATTGCTGTGAATTTGAGAGCGAAGGGACTAAGATGTGGCGAAGCCAGTGCACAGATTTGAGCCACTATAACATTTCAATCTAATATACATCTTAATGCACTTTCTAATGTTTGATTTGGGTTCACACCTTTTCGCAGAAGGGTGATGGCCTTCCCCTTGCGCCCGGCACGGCCAGTTCGACCAATGCGATGCACGTAGTCTTGGCCATCCTGTGAGCACACAAATACTGAATCTCTGCTGATCTGCTGCCACTTGAGTTGGACATGTTTGTTGGTTCTTAAACAAAAGGTGCTGAAACCTTTGATTTGAACATTTGAAAATCAACCACTGTACAATAAATTATGTTGAGGGCAAACGAAACTGCATGTACCTCTGGCGGATCGTAGTTGATGACCAAGTTGATATCCTGGTAGAATCTACAGGTCTTAAGTCTTAAATCTTCATGCGGCAGAAACTCAAAGCGAACAGCGTCAATCCTTTGCTACTGCTAATTACATCTAATTACACTGTTTTCTTTTGGATGAAGTGCTTGGCAGGTCTCGTCTCGTGGCCGATGGCCAAAGATGGCCAAAGATGGCCAAAGATGGCCAAAGAAACAGCGAGTCCTTGATATCCAAACCTCGACCTGCGATGCTTGTGGCGACCTGAAACGAGGGTCTGACAGGGTGATCTTAGGGTCTGATCAATACCTCCCTGAAAAAAATCATCTGGCGAACCGTGGATCTTATGTTTTATCAATACTTGTTATAAATTGCATAAAGCCGTGGATTGGTTCGAAGGCCACCCATAAAAATAGATTAACAATGATAATAGAACATAGATCCTCTGAATCCCTGATTCTCTTCATCCCGAACCCATTTTTGATTGATGCGTTTTTGATTACATTGGCAGGCTTCCTTTTTTGGTTTCCAGCAATGCTTCCGAAATGGAGCTCTAAGAAGATGGACAAGGAAAAGGAGGGCGAATAGGAAGAGGAAGGGGATGGAAAAGGGAGAAAAGGAAGAACACTACAATATAATACAATATAATACAATATAATACAATATAATACAATATAATACAATATAATACAATATACAGTAATATAACACAATATAATTAACATATATACATACATTATAAACAACCCCAAGCTATCGCTATTGGGGAACTATTCGTAATATCGATTTAAATGATTTGAGTAGAAATGAAAAGGAAAGGCAAAGCCGCGGGTGCAAAAGGGTGCAAAGTCTGTTTATATAGATGTTTCAGAAGGCCTTGTTGATCTTTGAAAAGGGAAAAAAAGAAGAGGAAGGAGTAGAACAAGTGCAAAAAAGAAAAGGAAATGGAACAGAAAGAGGAAGGGGAAATAAAAAAAGGCAAGAACAATGCAAAAGCAGAGAAAAGAACAAACAACAGGCAATTCAAACGACATTCTTCCGATATCTTCCGATCCTCTCTGTTGCGTTTCAAAGGGCGGAACCTTGCGAAAACATCGGACATCCAGTTTTGCCCCAAAGGAACGTACACAATCCATCACAATCCACTGCGGGTAAAGGGAAAGGAAATGAAAACGAAGGGGACGCAAAAACAAGAAGGAACGGGAAACGTGGTAATCAACTCAACAGAAAATTAGAAGTAAGATGAGGTAAGAAATAGTTCGGCTATGAAAGGCTGAAACACCCTCACTAAATGATGAAATTTAACCAATGATAAAAACTTACATTATTTTTTGCAACATTTTACAAATTATTTTACACACATTTTACAAACATATCAAATTCTTGGGCGTTGCTGACAGTTTCTGACAGCTGCGATGGCGAAAACAAAGAAACCACCACTCGAGGGCGTCGGGTGTTTTTTGAAATACCTGCACGACGCTTCGACGCTATCCGACGTTTAAATATCTTGCATAATTTTTGGATGTGTTTGGCTTTGCCACTTGATCCACTTGCAGAGGGTGCACGGGTTGCACGTTTCCCCAGATTTTTTCGAAAGCTACAACGTAGCTGTGAAGACACATACAACGTAGAATGTGCATGGATGTAACCTGGCATGTGCTACAACATGATACAACATGCTAGAACGTATGATACACAGAAAAAACATGAAAACACATTAAAAACAACATAAGGTGGATGCTATATTGCCCTCACCCCAAGGACAAGAGGAATATGAGACAGGTTGCGCGCATTCGAATGCTATTATACACGGATTATGAGAAGAAACACGGCAAGTATCTGTATGTCAGTTCTTTGGAGATTCTCAAAGTTATCAAAATCAAGCTTGCAACCCTTCCATACCCTTCCACTACGCCCTCGAGCACGGACCGTAAAACAACTTGTTGAGGCGGTGAAGCAAGCACCAAAGACAGGCCAAAACTTAAGCATCTGTGGCAGGCAAACCTGCAAGAGAATGGAGAATGAAACAGTGCCCAAGTCTGTTTCACAATTTTTCTGGAATCATTACCCTCAAGAGAGACAAGAGGTTCCTGCGGTTATCCGCGACGACTTTGCGAGGATCCCATGGTATAGCAACTTTACCAACCGACTCAATGAGTTGATAAGAACGACCGAAAGTACTCATAGTCCCTGAAGTGATCTTACCCCTCCAAATATTTAATATTATTTAATAATGTTTACAGAATTTTACAAAGAAGGATCGTGTAAATTTAACTTGAAATCCACTGGTGTGCTGCATTACAAATACCATGATCAGTGTGTTGCTAGTAGCACCATGTAGCACCTGTGCATAAACGCATAAACTTGTCGAGACAACTTTTGCCCTTTCTATGCTTTCTATGCTTTTCTGGCAGAAGGGAATCAATGGGAATCATATGGATCCATGGGGATCGAATACGATTGATTACGGCCCGACTGATGGGTTCAAATCAACAGCGCTTAGAAATGCTTAGAACTTTGATGCGTGACTTTATTGTTTTCCGATGTTTTCCGTGAATGTTGGGAGTAATCTGTTTGGGACAGTTTTTCAGCAAAACTCTAAGGGCGGCACCATGATCCAGGAGTCACCGCTCCGAAAGCGCTGCATTGCCTGAACAAATGCAGTTGCAGAAAGATGCAAAAAACCAAACGAAACGCTTTGCACATCGTTGCACCTGGTCAGTCGTACTTTTTTAATTGCTTATTATTACCAAAATGATTACCACAGTTTTTTTTAAATGTATTTACATGGTCATGGGTTGTTTACTACTGAGCTCATCTGCTGTCTCTCTTTCGGCTTGCTTCTTGATGCCATGGAGCGTCTCCACCTGGTCGGACTCTGGCTGATGTCTAAGTGACTCGCTGCTGTACAGTGTGGTCCAATTGTCAACTCTTTCAAGTATATAATTTCCGATTGGATGTTCCAAGCCAGCATGGATCCCGTGGTTTCTTCCAAGATCCAGGCACTTGCTCCCGTTAATGCTGCCTGCAAAAAGGAGAAAACACAAGGATGCAAGCGAAGTGTCAGAATATGTCTAAGTCCCGGAGCCAAGTATATAAAACTTGTTTGCCAGGCAAATTTTGGATTGTCACAAGTTTCAAGTGGCAAACATTTCGCACCCTTTCGCACCAACTCCGTAACACACAAACCCTCCATGGGTGAAGCACACTTCGTCGACTCACACCACCCCGCAGGACACACTGCGCTGGATCCACATCTGCGGCCTTGATCTTCTTTGCCAAAGCGTCGCACTCTTCGTGATCAAATGCAAAAATCAGCACCTGGAACTGGCATTTTTGGCTTCACATGGCTTCACAATCAATCTGTTGCTGCACAACAAGAGGGTCATCGGATCTTTACTTGTGACCCTTCAATGCTTGCGTACTGCGTAGTTTGTAGCTCCGTACCAAAATGTTTTCGAAGTGCACAGTATCGCTAGCGTTCGTTTAGTCCAAAGCTCTCATAGCTCCACTGCAGCTGCCATGTCTCCAGCCTTTCCAGGGTTCTTGTTCTGGGCGCCGTACCTTTTGGATTGTGAGTCTTAGGATTCTATTAGGATGTCTTAGGTACGTACACAGCTTCACTTTTTGACTGCAAGACTGATAAAAATGTTCAGACATTGATCAAAATGAGTTAATTAGATGCAAAAACGGGGCTTCTTGAAATCTCACATTCTTCCCTTCAGATCGGTCAAGAGACTTGAGGAGGCAGGAAACAGAAACACATCTTTGAAAGGCAGCAAAAATCGACAAGAGAAATGGAGTCTGGCGGAACGAACACGTGCACAATTCCTTGAAACGGCTAGGAAACAAGCCGAAAACATTACTATTGCACGTAAAGAATCAGCCAGAGAGACACATGATACAGCAAACATCAGCAAACCATTAAAAAATACCGTGCAGACAAGTCACAGCTTCCGCAGCATGCTCTTGAGAGCGCCCTCTTTGTCAAACTCATCTTTCACCTCACTTTTGAACCAATCCTGGTTGAATACCTACCTACCTACCCCTGCAAGGCCATTTCACAAAGAAATTGGGATCAACTACAAAAGGCCATTGAATGGGTCGTAGCTGCCCAGGCAACAACGGGCAGCACCCTGGCTTACAGCTCAGCGAATCAGTCTGTGAAGGGACAATGAAAAAAATAAAATTAACATAAATGAACATAAACATAGATAGACATAGATAACATACAAATATAAATCATATAATTATATATATATGTATTACATACGTATACTTATACAATTATTATATACACGGAAACATTAGGAAACTATTCAGAATTTTCCAAACAGACATTCTTTGGAGCTTCGAATTGGGACACCAGGATGTGCAAGTAAAAACTTGTTTGTTTCGTTTTTTTTCGGAATTTCAAGATGGTTTTGAAGCCTTGGAAGAAAGCAAGTCAAACTGAAAAAACATGTCTCCGTTCTGCAGTCTGAGCCTTCAACAATAACAACTTCTTGTGAGACATCTTTGTTGGCTTTGAGCGGATCCTACGTGCTTCGCTTGTTGCCGCACTAATGAGCAGAAATTATGAGCAACCATATCAAAACGTATCAAAACATAAATTGAATGCCGACTAACATCATATTCTGTATATAACAAGATGAAGCCCACGAACCCGAATGCTCACACGTATGTTAATGGTACAGATGTCAAAACACATGGATATGCAGTCACGCACAACACTTTTCTGCAATAGTTTATTTGAACTGTCTTGTACATATTTCCCCTGTTACCAGTCTGCAGTGTGGAGTGTAAAGTGTGGAGTGTAAAGTGTGGAGTGTGGAGTGTAAAGTGTGGAGTGTGGAGTGTAAAGCGTGGAGTGGGGACTGTAGAGTGTGTAAAGTGTAGAATGCGAAGTGTAAAGTGTAGAGTGTGGAGTGTAAAGTGTAGAGTGTGGAGTGTGGAGTGTAGCGTGTAGAGTGTGGAGTGAGGAGTGAGGAGTGTAAAGTGCAAAGTGTGGAGTGTGGAGTGTAAAGTGAGGAGTGTGGAGTGTAAAGTGTGGAGTGAGGAGTGTAAATTGTAAAGTGTAGAGTGTGGAGTGTAAAGTGTGTAGTGTGGAGTGCGGAGTGCGGAGTGTGGAGTGTGGAGTGGAAAGTGTAGAGTGTGGAGTGTAGAATGTAGAATGTAAAATGTAAAGTGTGAAGTGTAGAGTGTAAAGTGTAGAGTGTGGAGTGTAAAGTGTAGAGTGTCGAGTGTGGAGTGAGGAGTGTAAAGTGTAAAGTGCGGAGTGTGGAGTGTAAAGTGTAGAGTGTGGAGTGTGGAGTGGCAAGTGTAGAGTGTGGAGTGTGGAGTGAGGGGTGTGGAGTGTGGAGTGTGGAGTGTGGAGTGGGAAGTGTGGAGTGTAAAGTGAGGAGTGTGGAGTGTAAAGTGAGGAGTGTGGAGTGTAAAGTGAGGACTGTGGAGTGTAAAGTGAGGAGTGTGGAGTGCAAAGTGAGGAGTGTAAAGTGTAGAGTCTGGAGTGCAAAGTGTGGAGTGTGGAGTGCGGAGTGTGGCGGGTAAAGTGTAGAGTGTGGAGTGTGGAGTGTAAAGTGAGGAGTGTGGAGTGTAGAGTGTGGAGTGTGGGGTGCAAACTGTGGAGTGTGGAGTGTAAAGTGTAGAGTGTGGAGTGTGGCGTGTGGAGTGTGGAGTGCGGAGTGTAAAGTGAGGAGTGTGGAGTGTAGAGTGTGGAGTGAGGAGTGAGGAGAGAGGAGTTTAAAGTGTAAAGTGTAGAGCGCTGAGTGTGGAGTGTGGAGTGTAAAGTGTGGAGTGTGGAGTGTGGAGTGTAAAGTGTGGAGTGTGGAGTGTAAAGTGTGGAGTGTGGAGTGCAACGTGTAGAGTGTGGAGTGTGGAGTGTGGAGTGGGGAGTGGAAAGTGTAGAGTGTGGAGTGTGAGTGGGGGATGTGGAGTGTAGAGTGTGGAGGGAGGAGTGAGGAGTTTTATAAAGTGTAAAGTGTAGAGTGCGGAGTGTGGAGTGTGGAGTGTGGAATGTGGAGTGTAAAGTGAGGAGTGTGGAGTGTAAAGTGTGGAGTGTGGAGTGCAAAGTGTAAAGTGTAAAGTGTGGAGTGTGGAGGGTAAAGTGTAGAGTGTGGAGTGTGGAGTGGAAAGTCTAGTTTGTGGAGTGTAGAGTGTGGAGTGTAAAATGTAAAAAGTGTGGAGTGTGGGGTGTAAAGTGTAGAGTGTGGAGTGTGGAGTGTAGAGTGTGGAGTGTGGAGTGTAAAGTGAGGAGTGTGGAGTGTAAAGTGTGGAGTGAGGAGTGCGGAGCTTTCCCCATAGACACGGCGACGCCACAGGAAATCCAACGACTCGAGACGAGACACGTGGATGCAGAAAAACGAGCATTTCGTACGAGACTTCCTCCAATTTTGACATTTTCGACACGTTATCAAACACGTTGGAATGTCGCAAAGTGCCACGCCTGCCACGCAAAAAGGACATGACAAGCTGCTTGGAAACCTTCGAAAAGGAGAGGTTTTGCGGCTTCCCCCATAGACACGGCGAAGCCACAGGAAAACCAGAGACTCGAGACAAGACACGTGGATGCAGAAAAACGAGCATTTCGTACGAGACTTCCTCCAATTTTGACATTTTCGACACGTTATCAAACACGTTGGAATGTCGCAAAGTGCCACGCCTGCCACGCAAAACGACATGACAAGCTGCTTGGAAACCTTCGAAAAGGAGAGGTTTTGCGGCTTCCCCCATAGACACGGCGAAGCCACAGGAAAACCAGAGACTCGAGACAAGACACGTGGATGCAGAAAAATCAGCATTTCGTACGAGACTTCCTCCAATTTTCATAGTTTGAAACATGCCGCAAGAACATGTTTTCCAGCTTCCCCCATAGACACGGCGAGGCCACAGGGAAACCAGAGACTCGAGACGAGACACGTGGGAGCACCAAAACGAGCATTTCGTGCGAGACTTCCTTCAATTTTCACACTTTGTAGCTTCAAAACCGACGTTTTCCTACGAGTTTTCCTTAGAACGTGAAAATTTGCAACCTCAAAATCGATGTTTCGTGCGAGGCTTCCGTCAATTTTCAGCACATGTCAGAAAATGCCACGCCTGCCACGGAATTTGCACCTTGTCGCCACTTGACGCAGCCCTGCCAATGCGATTTGCAAACAACACGCAACATGACACGTCTAAAGTGCTGCGCCTGCCACGAAAAATGGCGATGGACACGTCCAAAGTGCTGCGCCTGCCACGAAAACTGCAACACATCTTCTGAAAACGTCGCAAAAGTATTGCGTCTGCCACGCAAAACGACTTTCGACGCGTTCCAGAACACGTCTGAATGTCACGAAGTGCCACGCCTGCCACGCGAAACGAAGCAACGACACGTCTGAAACCTCCAAAAATTACCACCTCTGCAGAACTTCCCATAGGCACGGCCATACGGTCCTCGCGCGAACGGTTGCGGACGGTTGCGAACGGTTGCGACCACAAACGCAACGTCGAGCGAACACACCCTCAACCCCCAGACCCCCAGAGTGAAACGGGAACCCTTGCTACGCATTCGGGAAAAAAAAGGAAACTATTATAAAAATATATTTATATAAATTCTACACACGTAACATAAATATAAAATTATATATATATATATATAAATAAAAAATAGAAAACTATTTAAACAAAACGTATATATATATATCATATCCGCCGACCCCGCCCAAGCAACTGGGAGCGGGTAAGGGAAAAACGCTTATGACAACAACAACAGCAACAACAACAACAACAACAGAAACAACGGAAAAACAGAAACAACAACAACAACAACAACTACTACTACTACTACTACCACTACTACTACTACTACTACTACTACTACTACTACTACTACTACTACTACTCCCCCTACTACTACTACTACTCCTCCTACAACTCCTGCTGCTGCTACTGCTGCTACTACTACTACTACTAATACTACTACTGCTTCTACTTCTACTTGCTTCTACTTACTTCTACTTACTTCTACTTACTTCTACTTACTTCTACTTACTTCTACTTACTTCTACTGACTTCTACTTACTTCTACTTACTTCTACTGACTTCTGCTTACTACTACTAAAAAACTACTTACTACTACTAAAAAACTACTTGCTACTACTAAAAAACTACTTACTACTACTAAAAAACTACTAAAACACTACTTACTACTACTTACTACTACTTACTACTACTTACTACTACTTACTACTACCTACTACCCACTACCCACTACTCACTACCCGCTACTTACTACTTACTACTTACTACTTACTACGAACTACTACTACCTACTACTACCTACTACTACCTGCTACTACCTACTACTACCTACTACTACCGACTACTACCAACTACTACCTACTACTACCCACTACTACCTACTACCACCTACTACTACCTACTACTACCTACTACTACCTACTACTACCTACTACTACCTACTACTACCCACTACCTACTACCCACTACCTACTACCCACTACCTACTACCCACTACCTACGACCTACTACCTATACTACTACCCACTACCTACTACCCACTACCTACGACCTACAACCTATACTACTACCTATACTACTACCTATACTACTACCTATACTACTACCTATACTACTACCTATACTACTACTACCTATACTACTTCTACCCATACTACTGCTACTACTACCACCTAGACTACTACTACCTAGACTAGTACTACCTATACTACTACTACCTGTACTACTACTACCTATACTACTACTACCTATACTACTACTACCTAGACTACTACTACCTAGACTACTACTACCTGTACTACTACTACCTGTACTACTACTACCTGTACTACTACTACCTGTACTACTACTACCTGTACTACTACTACCTATACTACTACCTATACTACTACCTATACTACTACTACTACTACTACTACCACTAC